GTCCATCCATCCCTCCATCCATGCACCCCTCCTCATCCACCCCTCCATCCATCCATACACCCCTCCGTCCATACACCTGTCCATCCATCCATCATCTATCCATCATCCATCCATCCATTTATCTGTCCAACCATCCATCCGTCCCTCCCTCCATCCTTCCAACCATCCCTTCCTCCATCTAACTATTCATCCCTCTCCCTCTCTCTACCCACTCTTCTCTCCCTCTATCCCTCCATCCAACCATCCCTCCCTCCATCAGTCCCTCCATCTACCTCTTCCTCCATCCATTCCTCCCTCCTTCCCTACTTCCCTCCATCCCTCCTTCCTATCCCTCCCTCCCTACATCCCTCGATCCATCCATCCATCCCTCCATCCATCCATCGATCCAGGAAATATGTCTTAAGCACATCCCCGCTGGGATAACTTCAGAGAATTTAGAATCTCAAGGAGAAAGTGGAGCAGAATTTTGAAGGTCATTCCAGGGACTCGGTTTGCAACTGGAAAAGGAATAAATATACTCTTTCTCTCACTAGCATATGAACATGCCTTTCTATGTACAGATATAGTTACTCTCTTTAATTCACAGAATAATAATAAGGAAAATAATCAAGACCATGTGTTTTCATGGTACTTTACAGTTTCTAAGTACCAGCACAGACATTATTTCATTAATTTCTCACACCAGCCTTGAGAAGCAAGCCAGAGGAGTATAACTATTTCCATCTCCCAAGTGGGAATCCAGGTAACTTCTCTAAGATGATACCACTAATTTCTGTGGACAGAAATGGTCCTGGCCTATTTTATGTTAGCATCTATAAATACTCAAAAGATACACACACACACACACACACACACACACCCCAGGCACTCCCACACCTATGAATCACACATCTGTGAATCAACCTGTATTTATTTCTCTTTACATACCCAGAGACCCCTGACACACTGCAGCCTATTCAGACCCTCACACTCAAGAGTGCAGTGCACAGATAGGGAAGACAGCCAACAAAATTACAAGAGTAAAGTGGTAGGGGGTGGATGTGGGGCACAGGCAGGGATGTGGGGTGCAGGTGGCTATGTGGGGTGCAGGTGGGGACAGAGAGTGCAGGTGAGGACGTGGGGCACAGGCAGGGATGTGGAGCACAGGTAAGGATGTGGGGTGCAGGTGAGAATGTGGGGTGCAAACAGAAGGTGAGTCATTGTTAATGCAGATGATCCCATGGCCCCCAAGGCATAGTGCGAGCACAGACACTGGGCAGGCCCAGCACTTCTGGCCTCCATTCTCTGCCTCCCTCCATGGCCTGCTTCTGCTACAGGTGGATTCCTTTGCTCCGACGACCTTGGTCCAAACTCTCAGACCCCCTTCTCCCTCTACCTCTCTCCCACTGCCCCTTCCCCAGGGAGGCAACACAGAACAGACACATTACCCTGTTTGAGCTGCTACTGCACTGGCTTTCGCTCAGAGGAGGTGGGGTAGGAGGAACCACAGAAATTTTGCTGCCAAGGAAAAATACAGGAATAAGAAACGGGTTGTGAATGATCCAACTATTAGTCTTACAAATGCATGGGACTCGCCATCATCTTCTCATTCAAGTTCTCTGACTTTTTTTTTTTTTTTTTTTTTTTTTTTTTCTTCCTTTTTTTTTAGAAGAGGATCCGGCGGCCCTGCATGGATCTGCTCCTCTAGGCAGGGTGTAATTTCCTGGTGTCGGGATGTGGCAAATGAGCACCGAGCTGCCCCGTGGCCAAGGCTTGTGCGCCACGCGTGTTGTCTAAAGTAGCCCGGCTGCTCCAGAGCCCAGACCAGGCACGTGTCCCCTGTGGCCGTGTGCGTTCTCTCAGCAGAAATCCCATCAGAAGTGCCCAAAACGCCGTGGATGCCAAAATCAAGCATGAGAGGAATCAGAAGTTGATGGGAGAGGGGCACTGAGGTGGCTCAGTCGGTTAAGCGTCTGCCCTCAGCTCCGGTCATGATCCCAGGGTGTTGTGATGAGTCCCGCATCAGGTTCCCTGCTCAGCAGAGAGCCTGCTTCTCCCTCTGGCTCTCCCACCTGCTCATGCCTGCTCACTCATTCTCTCTCTTTCAAATAAATAAATAAAATCTTAAAAAAAAAAAAAAAGAAGTTAGCATCTCACAGACCATGCCTCACTGCTGCCAATTTTATTCCATGGATGTCTGAGGTGTCAGGCCCCAGGCATGATGCTGGAGATAGGAATGATTCATAAAAGCAAATGCCTGGTTTAGAATTTCATTTAAAATGCCCTCAAAAATAATATTTCATTTTCATACTACATTTCAAGAGAATTTAGGAAATAAAACCTTTAGTGAGAAAATGCTCTGCTAGCTCCCAAGAAGGCCCTTCATTAAGAATCTGGAAAGATCTCTGTTTCAATCTTTTCCAGGCACTTTATCATTTAAAAAAAAAAAAAAAGTCACATTCCAGAGCAGCCACGTCCTAAAGTCAAGAGATCTAGAAGTTCTTTCAGTGTCCTTTGTTCCCCAGGCCAGGGGAGGGCCAGCACGGTCTGCCCTGGGACGGCACTCACCTCAGTTCCTGATAAGATTGCAAGAGCTTTGCTCCGGCTGTCCCGTGTTTGCCTGGAAGAGATATCGGCAAAGGTCATTCATTAGTACGAAGACAACCTTGGTGATGCAAACACAGGAAGCAATCAATTAAAATTATTATTTTTCTAATACCACTTCTTGCAATTAAAAAGTAAAAGACCATCTTGGGGTGATAGAAATGCTCTGAAGTTCAACTGTGCTGATGGTCACACAACTCCGTAAATTTGCTAAAAACAATTAAATTATATAATATGTTAAAAAACAGATGATGTTTATGCTCTATAAACTACATCCCACAAAAGTTGTTAAAAATGCAGACATAAACACATACATACACATAATTGCTGGGAACGACTGCTTTTATTAAGAGTTGACGTAGGGTTAGATTTTCTAAATCTGGAAAATCTGAAAAGCGGTCCAAGCTTCCAAGCTTCCATTTGTCCTTTGGAAACATTTAATAATAGCATGACTATATTCCTTTAAACATTCCTTGTTATGGGGATTAAATTAATCTGTTAAAAAATGTAATCTTCTTATTTCTAGTGATAGAGGCTAATAATTTCCTAAATAAGACTGCTTCTGATATAGTACTCTTTTTGTTTCAAGGCAAGGGGATTTTATGATGTATTAAGACCCCAAAAATAGAACTCTCCATAGTTCTATGAACACAATGTTTCCTGGCCCAGTGCATAGGAAGAGGGTAGTCTGCCCAGCCGGCCTCCACCCTGCCTGACACAGGGCTGGGAACCACCAAGCCTGCCATGCTGTCTAGCTCCTGCGGGGTGTGTGTGAAGGTTTTAATCCACCCCCAAGAAACACTTACATACATATTCACATCACCTCCATCAGATGAGAAGCAGGGCAGGGAGGACTTGGGGGGTGGGGGGTGGCGGGAGGCAAGCGACTCTGATATCAAGGACCGAACCCTAAAGCCAGGAGGAAGCTGACCCCCAGGGGAGGGGTTCCTAACTGGAGCCGACCTCAGGGAGTGTGTGAGCCCCGAACTCACAGGTCAAACTCCGAGTCTCCCTGTCTGTGTGCATTTGGGGGCGGGGGTCGATGATGATGTTCACCAGATTCTCGAAGGCATCCGCGAGCCCTCCCCCGCCCCCACTAATGCTTCTCTAAGGCCGATGGGAAAGGCAGCCCCACAGGCCGAGAGCTGCACCCCAGAATCGGCCTGTAACGATGAAAGCCCATACCCGCAGGAGCCACTGGGAAGAAAACCGCGAGGCCAGAAGAAAAAGAGAACGACCCTAACTGCTTCGCGGTCGGTTGTCATGAAAGCAGAGAAAAACAAGGCAAAGAAAAAGAAAAACTAGAGACACTGTGTATCCAGGGTGTCCTGGGTGAAAAGGCAGACCCCACCAGGGGACCTCGAGTTCGGAGCCCTCCTGGGGGTCGGCGGGTGCGCTCACCGCTCACCGCGGCTTGTGGCTCCCTTCCCGCCCACCTGTCTGCTCAGACAGACGCTCAGCATCTTGTCCCTGGATTGTGGTGACAGTGTCCCCAAGGCACAGCCACCAGTCACAGCGCACCCCCCCCCGCCCCATCGATGCTATCGTTCTACTGCCTAAAGCTCTTCAGTGACCCCTTACTGCCATTGCCCAAAGTCCAAGCCCCACGCAGCAACCCGGGGCCTCCACATGCGCCCCTGGGCCCCCCTCTCCGGCCCAGCTTCCCTGCCTGCATAGACATTGTCTACTTACTCCCACTTACCCCACCTCACCTCCTAGCGCCCACTGCCTGGGCATTTCTACCTCAGGCCCCTACCTCCATCTTCAACTTCAGCTTAGTCCCCCCGACACCCCATTTCTCTATACCCCTCCTGAGGTCCCAGCGAAGGCCTGGCCACAAACGGCTCTCTGCTGCCCCCTGCTGGCCGCTTCGGGCCTGGCAGGCCGCGCTGTGGGCTCCGCAAACCCCCTCCACAGAGTCAAGTATTCTGGGCTCTACACAGTCTCTGTCCTCTGCCGCTGTGACAGCAGCCATACACAGTATTAGGGTCGCTGGAGAGGACGCGGGGGGATGGGGTACCTGGGTGATGGGCACTGGGGAGGGCACGTGACAGAATGCACACTGCGGGTTACGGGCGGCTGATGAATCCCCCAACTCCACCTCTGAAACTAGGAACACACTATATGTTAGTTAACTGAATTTAAATAAAATTTTAAAATAAAATTAAAAAAATAAAGAGTGGGCATGTCTGTGCCCCAATAAAACTTGACGGACCTTGAAATTTGAATTTCATGGCTTTTTTATAGGTTACAGCTATTTTGACAATTCCAAATTGTAAAACTCATTCTTAACTCACAGGACATACAAAAATGGGCAGAAGGACAGGTTTGGCCCTCGGGTCCTACTGCACCCCCATATCGTTGCTACTCCAAGTGTGGGCTGCGCTGCCCGCTGCCGTCCCAGCTGGGAGCCTGTCAACAATGCAGAGTCCTGGGCCCAGCCCCGCTGCATGGAATCAAGGGCCGTTCGCTGAAGTTTGGGAAGCGCTGCCCTGTTTATTTCCATGTTGCTTCCTCCTCTGTTCCCTCACTTGTTTCCTATCAGAGGCTTCCTTCAAAAGCTCTACTGACTTTCGGTTAACATAACAATGCACGTTAACAGGGGCACCTGGGTGGCTCAGCCCTGGGCTCAGACTGTTGATCTCAGCTCAGGTCACCATCTCAGGGTTGTGGGACCGAGCCCCACATTGGGCTCCACACTCAGCACAGAGTCTGCTTGAGATTCTCTCCCTCCACCTCTCCTCCCCCTGCTCCATCTCCCGCTCTCTCTCTCTCTCTCTCTGAAAAAAATAAATAAATAAATAACCATGCATGTAACCACGGGGAGGAAACGCGCAGAAAAGGATGCCCTCCCAGGCGTCCTGAGAGGCAGGGTGTCTGAAGCAGGGGCCTCGCTCTGCCACTCTGGCTGCCTCGTTGGGCCAGACGCTCGGCGGAGGAGCGGCTGTAGGTCGGCAGAGTCCAGGCTTCCAGCGCACGTTGAGAAGGCGCGGCCGCCGTTGATCAGCAGCTGACTGCACTGCGCCGGGCCCAGGGCTCAATGTGCCTTTGCTTCGTGGGTTGTTTCCAGGTGTCGTCTCAATTTTATCAACGAAAACCGAGGCTTGGGGACATTTTGTAATGACAAAATACATACAAATGACAAAGCTGCCTTTCGCACCATGACTTGCCTACGAAGCTGGACACACACAAGTTAGGTGGGGAGCGGCGACTGGTACGCGGGGGTCTCCCATTCTCTCTACTTTCCTCACGAGGGAAAATGTTCAAAATAAAAAGCAAGGGGAGAAACAACCACTTATAAACCAATGGCCAATGCCCGGAAAATGCTGAGATTCTTCATTTTAGACATGCTTTCTATTTGTTCTGTGTATCTCAGGCCGCGTAAATCAAGGGGCCAAGCCTGTGCACTGGGATTGGGGCATCCACCCCTGGGTGTGAGCACTGTCCCTGCCCCTCTCGGGCTCCCCTTTCTCTCCTAGCCTACCCCCCCCTCCCTACAACACCCCTCTCCAGGGCACAGGAGATACCGTCCTTGGCTTGCAGCTCCCTGTCTACGTGGATACAACAGACAAGTTGTTCTGTGAATGAACTTCCTTGACCGGCATCCAAGGCTGCTATGCGTTGAGTTGTATCCCCTGAAAAGACATGTTGAAGTCCTAATCTTTCCTTTTTTTACAATTTATTTATTTATTTTAGAGGGGGGAGGGACAGAGGGAGAGAATCTCAAGCAGACTTCCCGCCGAGCACGGAGTTAGACATAGGGCTCAATCCCACGACCCTGAGATCATGATCTGAGCCAAAATCAAGAGTCAGACGCTTAACCGACTGAGCCACCTGGGTGCCCTGAAGTCCTAATCTTTAGCACCTGTGACTGTGACCTTATTTGGAGAGTCTTGGCAGAGCAAGCTGAGGGGAGGTCGTTGGGATGGGCCCTAACATAATATGACGGGTGTCCTTATAAAAAGGGAAAACCTGGACACAGAGGTAGACATGCACACAGGGGAGAGGACATGAACACGGCCATGTGACAACAGAAGCAGAGACTGGAGTGATGTGGCCACAAGCCAACGGTTGCCAAGGATGACAGAGAACCAACCGAAGCTACGAGAGGCAGGAAAGACCGTCCCCTGGTGCTGGCAGGGGCAGCGTGGTTCCCCTGACCCTGGATTTCGGACTTGCAGCCCCCAGAACAGTGAGACAGCAACACACTTCCGCTGGTTGGAGCCACCAGTACTTTCCAGGGCTAGTTCCACCAGCCCCACGAAAGGACCCACAGGGTCCTCTGTGCTTCAGTCCCTGCATGCCTCTCCAGGGTCTCCTTCCGCCATTCAGAGTATGTACCCCCGTCCCATTCGGAGGTGCTGGTAAAGATGCCCGGTGCCCACTAGACTCTCCTCTTCCATGCTCCTTGCTCATGTGCCTCCACACCACTGCACCAGTGGTTTATCCTCCGGGACCTGAGCCTGTCCTCACACGCTGCCGTGCACACTTCTCTACCGGTCCTCTGGCTTCGCTGTCATTGTGTGCATCTGTGTTGGTCTCCCCGACCAGGTGGAGAGCACCCCGAGGACACAGGTCTTCTCTTACGCCTGTTGGTGTCGCCAGCACCAGCAGAGAGTATGTCGTGCGGGGGTGGGGGTTATAAATACAACAGCAACCAGAACTATTTTAACACAAAGCATTACTGCCTCATTTGAACTATATGACCAAGTATGTATGAAAAGGTCATCGGGGCGCCTGGTGGCGCAGTCGGTTAAGCGTCCGACTCTGTGATTTCGGCACAGGTCGTGATCTCAGGGTCGTGCGATTGAGCCGCACGTAAGGCTGTGTGCTCAGCGGGGAGTCTGCTTCAGATTCTCTCTCCCTCTGCCCCTCCCCACTTCTCGTGCTTGCTCGCGCTCTAAAATAAATAAATAAATCTTTAAAAAAAAAAAAAAAGAACGTCACGATTTTTTAATGACCTGGCTTACATGTGACTCACCCGTTCATTCCCATCCACCGTGTCAAAAGCATGGG